TTTCAAAATTAAACTGTATCTTGTGGATGCTTTTGTGATTTAAACTTTCACTTTGATTAAAAAAATACAAATATTTTTTTATTTATAAATATCTTCAGACAACAGAAACTGGTTATAATGCCAATATGTATACTTACACCTAAACACATAACATTATGGTCGTGTGATGAAGCCATAACTCACTTTCACTATAAATAATAAATCGTCAGCAGACGTAACAAAACATCTAAATGGCGTGTCGTATTACAAATTAATTTGTGACATCATACAATAAAAAACAATAAGTCACCTTACCAATGGAGATATCTTTCATAATACGTACTTAAGAAATTCGTAATGTTTGTTTGTTTGTTTTCGAGAATACAGTTTGCATGTTGTTTACCTTATAGCGGTTTAACATGCTGCTCATCTTTCAAGTCGCTGGTTCGATGCCCGCTCTATACAAATATTTGTATTACGAAGTTTGACTTTTATGGATAATTAATTCCCTAGAAAAAAAATTGAGAATATATAGAATTGATCATAAAAATCCCCAATTTTTTACATAATACTTATCTAAGAGACAACATCAGATCTTCACCTCTATTAACCATTATTAAGGGTAACTCAAAAACTAATAGTCAGATATTGATCAAATTTATAAGGCTACGTGAGATCCGATCCGATTCACGTAGAAAAAACCTGACTGAGGCAACACTATAAAAAGATTAGCAATTCAATAGTATGTACTATTGAATTGCTAATCTCTTCATGTTTGTGAAGTTGACAAAAAACCAAAGAAAGACGGAAAAGACGTGATATATACATACAACATATAACCCTAGACAATTCACACTGCACCATCCAATCCCAAGATAAGTAGAGCTTGTTTTATAAGTACTAGGCAACTGATTAAATATCCAAATACATTTTTTTTGTAAATACATACATAATCTGCATAGAAAACAACCATACAAATCATCATACTCATTAATACAAATTTTTGCACCGTGCAAGGAATCGAACCCGCGACCATCGGAAGTAAGCTGTGTGCTAAACCGCTAGATCAACGAGGCCACCATTTATGAAATACATACATACATTGCATGATCTGCTACTGCAGTATGCGGTTGGTAAGTGAAAGATAAACCCTCACGCGTGGTTGAAGATTGCAATAATTAGGTACTTACGATGACAAGACTTGGATATAATTAACCGAACAAAATACATATTAGAGGTAATGTGCAATTATATTTACAAAAGAGAGATTTTATTTCACAAATAGACAGGTATCATAAATTATACGACCAATTGTAAAAATTATGAGTTTCTTTCAAATGTTTGTTTGTGTGTAACACTTTATTAGACAGTAAAGGCTACAACGATCTTAAGAAATAAGTTGTAGAATGGTGGACATATCAAAAACGAGGAACCCTGACTTCCAGTCAACCTTTGAATGATGGAAAGGAATTATGGAGTGGTGAAAATTACTATTTTCACCATTCCATAATATAATAATAACAACAAAACCAACGCATTATATATGTTTTTTGAGTTCCTACCTAAAAAGATTAAAAAGCAATATTTTGTCTGTCATGATTTAGAAACTACAGATGCTAATGGATTGAGTATTGTTATATAAGCACTACTGGTTTAAGACAAGGAAGTTCTAATTAATATAATTGATATTACTAAGTAATATTAACTTATCTGTGATATTACTAACCCGAATATTACGTGAGTTTATCTAACACAAACGAAACATCTTTCCTTTTTAACTACAGAGGTATAGTTAGATGGTGTCATATATATATACTTTTAAATGAAAGTTTTAGGAACAGAGCCATCGCTCAGATCATGATTAATATCAAATATGCAGATTTGAGCCCATTTCTTTTTTTAATATTATAATATACTTTCGTACTAATTATTTGCTCAGTGGTTTAATGGAGCAAATAATAATAACTCAGAAAAATTCACAAAGATGTTGTAGTTCCAGGGTAAGAAGAGCTTGTAATATGGGTATTAGACGATTGATACAAATACTTAAATAGTAAATGATATTTAAATAGTACATAAAAAACACCCAGATCACTGTACTGATAAATACAAATATTTGTACTGTGCGAGAAATCGAACCCGCAATCAACGGAAATAAGGCGGTATGCTGCACCTTTAGACCACCAAGACCGTCAAATAAAAATCAAACTCGGTTTCTATTATACACAAAGGAATACAAGCAGTAACATTGCAAGAATAAAGTTGATGTGTTGGTAGTAGGTAAATGGACAATGGTAAACATCGTATACAATTTACATATCACCATAATGTTACACAAGTGGTAATGGTGACTCAACATTTCTGGGACCGTAACAAACAATGGTGACTTTGCTAACCATCAAACCACCACGTTAGAAACCAGTACGTGACTCTGGGCAGCAAAATGGAAACGGCGTTCTGTGGGCACGCAATCGGTAGAAAGTGATACCATACCATACCGTCCATCTGACGCATACGTGTATACACTATTACTTGGTGCTTTTCAATCAGTTTTCCAGATCGTTTTTAAAGTGGTAAAGCATATCGTTTATGTCTTTGACTTAAAAATTACCGTGGTTTAGAAAATCTATTCCATAGTGTACAGTATACAATTCATGGTGACACGTGAGGTTTTGAATAAAAATGAACTATTATATTTCTTGCAGGAAGTATAATAAAGTAATAATAACCCAAGGCAATTCAGACAGCGATATTTAATGCTAATTAAAACAGATCTTATGTTATGGATACTAGACAACTGATATAAATAATTAAATACATTTTTTGTAAATATTAGATCCCAATTATAAAATATAAACAATGATACTCATGAATTCAAATTATAAATGTTTATACTATTCGAGGAAACGAACCCGCAACCATCGGAGGTACCGAAACCACCGGACTGCAAAACAGCTAGACCACAACGGCCATCTAAATATGTGCGCATAAAACAATCAAGAGCAGTCATAACGTTAATAATAAATTTTAAATGCACATATGTACTTGTGTAATAATAGAAAACGAATGGAAACTCCAGGCGTCATAATAAAATAAAAGGAAATCTACATAATTATAGCAATGTACAATAATTTTGAAAATCTCCATGTTTAAAATATAGATATACAAATAATAATTATTATTTGCTCAAAAACACAGAAAGATAAAATTAAAGCCTTAGAAATTATATCGACGACGTCAACAACAATATTAGAGTTTTCTTTTGTGGTGTCAGGTAGTAAGGTGTAATTAGTTTCGATAATAAAGTTTCTTACCTTTTACTTCTTTAGTAAATGTTATTCGACATACTATTTCCGTTTGGACTCTAAATCATCATAAGTATAATACGCTCGCTCGGGAAAGTTCATTTTCCCGTACGTGCTAATTATCTACAATTACCGGTTATTATGTAAAATTACACACATGTATTCTTACATCGATACCACTAATATCACCTGAATAAGGCAGACTTGTTTCAAACAAAAAGGTATGAGATAATAGCTATTCTTGTTGTTAAACCGAGCATTAAAGTCCAATCAGCATACTGCAGTCTGTAGCCTGACTGCATCGTCAACCGGCCCAATGCAGTAGTTTCCGACAGTATATCTTATAACTTTAGATCAGCTATTTTATCAATAACATGCAATATTCAAGTATAATCTGTATATAGTATAAAATGAAGTTGCTTCCGCTGTCTGTTCGCTTAGATCTTTGAGTGATTCAGAGGGTAGGTTATTATATGTATAATTCAAAGTTTATGTGTTATTAATTAGTGTACGTATAAATATATCTATAAACAATAACAAGAACTTCACGTGATTAAGTGATGCAGGGGCATACCTCGTGAGTTGACACTTCAGAGGACTAAGATGTTATGACCTAAAATTACCCTGTAATTTCACTGCCATATCTCACTCTCCATCCGAAACTCAAATTACAAAACTAGAAACAGTTTTTTTTACCAAAACTGTTTCTGCCTGAAATGGATGAAACAGAAGTACGTTGACGACTTTGTATGAAGGCTTTCTCTGGTAATATTATAAACGGTCAAACGCTTGAGTTTTAGCAGTAATTAATTTATATAGGTATATAGAGATACAATGTTACATTCAACATTGGTCTCATTATTGATTTTAGAGATAACTGTGTTAGTTTGAAGTAGGTTTTAAAACCAATGTCGGAGAGTACTAAGTAGATAATAAAAGTATTGCCTTCTCACGAAAATGGGAGTAATGATACTTAATACTGTGAAATGGCTACTTGTGAAACTTTTTGTCCGTCTGTCCGGTAATAACATTAAAAGCATAGAAAGTGTGACATTATGTGATAGCGGTCGTCGTATGATAGACGTTATTAATTTTAAATTTGCCACAAAATGTGGTGCGCTCCATTGTTTAAAGAGAAAATGGTACAATGTACATTATGTACATTTTTGAAATTATAGATATATATGCATTAAAATTTTTAAAAATCTCTTTTCACGCCTTTGTATCTCTGCGAACTGGACAAAGCAAAATCTTACCGCCAATGCACGTGATATGACTCTGTGGTTACGCAAATGGAAAATATAATTTTTATTGTTATAAAATTAGAATTCATAGAATAGAAAGTCTTTGTTGAGATATGTTGTGTGGCAGGATCAGCCGTAATAATGTAACATTATTACAATATATGTATGCTTTTATTTTATTTTTGTGGTTAATAATGGAATGGTGGTACTTCCTGCGCTAACGGTTTACGCTGGCGGGGCTACAGTGGAGGATGATAAGATGAACGTGAGTTTAGGTCAGTTAACAGTAGCATGACATAGGTTAAAATTCACCAGGAATTTAACACTATGGTTTCCAAGGAAAATCGTGTGTAGATGAATCAGATATGGTACATTATTCAAATACATCATAAGGTGATTAGTTCATATCTTTTCCCCCTTGTATTATTCTATTGTAATCTACCTACTTAGTGTTTTCTTTTAATTCTTGCAGGTTCGCGCCTACGGTTGGTCGCAGTGGCCTTGCAGGTTCTTCTGGTGACGGCCAATGGTAAACATAACCACCATCGACGGTCAATGCCCACACAAGCGGTAAGAATGATTTTTGCCACACCATACTGGTACTTATGAACCTAAAACAGAGTAGGCACTAAATGATATTCACGTGAAATTTTAGTAATGATACTATATGAAGTTAACCTCTAAATGGTCCCACCTGGAAACCATCTTGGTTAATTGCTAGTGAATTCGCCACGATGGCCTAACAGATCTGATGTCAAGCTCCATTCTGATCCTATTGGTGCCCCGCCATTACTTACCATTACTATAGGCGAGTTCACCATATTCATCCATAAAAATATATTCTGTTCACTAATGTTCGAAAATACAAAAATTGTACTATATTTGAACTCTAATTATATTTTTACTATATAACACCGAGTATTGTTTTGTTTTTTAATTTCAGACATTACCAGTATCGAAAAGCGGATGGCGACCAGTATTAGGATCAGGTGGCCTACTATACGGATCATTCGGCGGTGCACCGCTCAGTGGTCCTCCATACAAGATACCTGTACCTGTCCTCGACTTGTATCCCTCTTCCGCACGTCCAATATCCACAAGAGACGCGACGAAACTGACTTCTATAGCTCAATCTTACCGTCCCACTACCCTCAGAACTGTTTCCTCCGCGCCCCCCGCCAATCAACCTATTAACTCATATCACAATCCATTCGTTCTACCCAACAACGGCCTCACATACAAATACGTCCAAAATTTCCCCGCAGATAACATTCTGATTAGAAACCCACAAAATCCTTTCGCTGCTAGACCGGTCTTTTCAAAATATCCCACAAAACATAACCAACCGTTCCACAACAGTATGCTGCAACAACTGACACACGTGCAGCCTGTTTATTTTGGACAATACCAGAACAAACCAGTGGATGTATTTGGAAAGCCAGTTGAAGGTTATGTGAGACCCACAGATCCAGCCAAACAATCTCATGGTGGCACCGAGATCTATAAAACAGAGGTCTACAAACTTCCTGATAGCGATACAGCATCTCAGTCGGTCAGCCAGCAAGTTAAAACAGCTCAACAGCAGTCATTTGCAGCAACTCCTAAGACGCCGTACTCTCATTACTCCTTTAAAGACTCTGTTTTTCCACCGAGCATTTTAGGTAAAATACTTTTTTTTGTTATTCTAATAATATAGCAATAAATGAGCTTTTTATTTCTCACCAATGTATATTGCATTGAAAATGAGTCTGCGGATGAGCGTGAAGGGTGGTCCTTGCCACCAAAGAAAATATGAATAAACTATATGAAAGGTGATATGGATAAAAGTAGATTAAAATCAGATATAACAGTTGAAAAGCGTATTGATCGGACTTAAAGAAATAAGATGAAGTAAAGGCAATGAGTTTGGTTTTAGTGGTTGTTGGAGTTACTCACACAATACATTGTCGTCGAAATTTTCTTTAAAAATATAAGAAGTAAATGCTTCTAAAGACTTGATTTATACTTCATTAATTTTTCTTATATTTCAGGTACTTTCGGCTCGTTCGGTGTTCAATCTGTCAAAGGAAGAGATCCTATTTACTCAACCGCTAAGACTACATATTTTCCTCAACCAACGAAGCAGACAATCTTTAATTCCTTCAGTTATACACCATCATTTAAAACCACCTCCGTATTCAGTTCCACTACACCGAAATTACAAACTACATTAAATCATATAAATTTTGGGTCACATTTTAATGATTACAAGAATCCGCCCACTCAACAAACAAAACCATCGACTCCAATAAAAATAGATCCCAATATTGGAAAAGGTAGCTTTAAACCAAGCCCACAAGATCCCTTCATCACCAAACAACATCCCGTTGATTACAAGCCTGTTATAACTACCTACAATCCAATATTATCGACGACTGTATCAAGTAATTACATCGACTATAACTTCCCATCACATCAAAATTCACCGATACAAACTAATCCGGAGCCCCAGATTTTCACTTATGAGAAAAAGAAACAGAAGATACATGACAGCGTCGCAGCTGGTGTAAATCAACCCTCAGACCAATATGCTTCATCCCCTAAAAAACAAACTACGAATTCTGTTATACACAAACCTACTTATGAAGTAACAGAAACTTTTGAATCTGAGGACATTATTACACACTCGTCGCCTCCGGCTTGGACGTATGATAATCCAAAGTCGACTGATCAATCAGTAACAAAAGCGATAAGTCACGACACATACTTTAAACAAACGACATCTGCTGTGCCAGATCTACCCGAGGAATATGCCATAGTAACAGAAGCTGAGAAGGGCTATGATAACTCTTTGAGCTACGATGGCCAAGTCGAATCTCAAAGTAGGCGGCCTCTGGGCGATGATTTCGAACCTATCGGCAAACACAAGCTTAAAGACTATTACTACAAAGTATCAACTTCATCGTATGATGATTATAGTACAACGAGACGGACGAAAAAACCGACAGAAGTATCTACACCAGAAGCGACAACAGATTTTAATGTAGTTAAAGAAAATATGAATGATAAACCAGCTGACGCTTTACCAACACTTCCTCCTAACAAACATTTCAAACGCCCAAATCAGCAAGAGCCGCAAGACAAAATACGAAAAAGGATTAAACATAGAAGACGCCGTCCACCTCTAGCTAATCTGCAGCATAAACAGGAAGTATCAAGCACTACTGCCTCACGTGTTATCCAGTCCACGACAGAATTCCCACAAACGACTGAAGGCGATGACATACATACAATTAGACCCAGAGTCAGACCACTGAAGTTAAAACCACAGCCTAATCTGACAACACCTAGTATCACGACTGACTTAACTACAAGTGCAGTACCAACACTGTCGCCTACAATTCCTACTATACTAAAGAAGAAACTCGTTCGTAGACCATTCATCACAACTACAGAAAGGTTTGAAACCACTACACAAGTATTTAAAGATTATGATAACAAAGATTCGTCTATAATGAAAATCGCAAGTCGTCCACAATTTCCTAAAACATCCTCATCTTATGACTATAATAATGGTGATATACCAGATTATTCGCACAAACAGGACGAGAAGGATACACCGACAAGCGATGTCGCTGTCAGCCTTAGTGATACTGCCCTGCACAGCACACCTGAAGCAGCAAACTCCTTCGCATTCCATAAAGACGTTAAACCAATAGAAGCTCTTGAAATAAAAGAAATTACAACAGAATCTACAAGAAGCAATACTGATATCTCGTATGAAATAACCACCAATCGTCCAGAAGCATCTGATAATTCAGGAAGAGTACAAAGGCCGAGACTTAAAAACAGATTCAATCGCCCGAAATTCAGTGTCAAAGATTACAGGAATCGGCTTAATTCTACCACAAGTACTACAGAAAAGGCTGTGGACTCAACAACTAAGGTAAGATTCCCACATCGAAGAATACCAAGCACTGACAATTACTTTAACAGTGATGTAGAAGTGACAACTGAGAGAAAGAAATTTATGCCCAAAGATCCACGTCATAAGATTCCGAACAACGATGAAACAGAAAAAGAAATACATTCGATCAGACAACCCACTAGACATAAACAATCAGCAGATACAACAGAGGCTGCATCACAGAAAATATCCTCTAGAATTCGTAGTGGAGTAAGACGACCGAAACCAACAGAAGAAACGACCGAAAGTGAAAGTTCTACTGTAGCTCACAAAAGGCCTCTAAGAAAGAAGATTAAAGACTCTGATACAGGTGAATCAGTGCAAGACGTAACAGTTACCGAGACTACTGTACATTACGATCAGAAGAACGATATAACATCAGAGAGGACGAGGTCAGAGAGTGCTATCATGAAGATCGCTGACAAAAAACACCAAGATCATCATTTAGAACATTTATTTGAACATTCCAAACGAGTTTCAGATCTAACTCTGGCCGCGAGCAAAGATTATAACACACCTGGCATGTTCAAGACGGTATCCTCAAATAGTAGGAGAATACCTAATTACTTTACGATAGCGACAGACGATCCCATACTACCGATAGAGGCTTTCTTTCCGCAGCTGAACCAAAAGAAGGAATCGTAATGTTCCTAAGTAGTTAAGTTATAAAACCAAATCTTTCGACTGCCAAAGCGATATAACTTCTGTAAGTTCTCTTATACTAACATTATTTAAGCACAAATATGAAGTAATATTTTTCATGTCTATTGATTAGAGAAATGAAAGCACAATTACCGGGCGTCTGAAGTCCTTATAAACAACATCTGAGTTGTGAATTATATAAACTCTATTTGGAAATCGGTTTAATCTAATTATACAAAAGCGACTGCATTTGATAAATTGTCACTATATTTAGGTAAGATTTGTATATTCCCTATGAAGCGGTGCTCATTATAGTATAAGTTATATTATTCTTTTGTGAAATAATAGGAGTAAAGGCAATCATAAATTTTTTGCTATCCGGAATTATTACAAATGCAAAAAGTTTTTAACGAAAAAATCATTAGGTCAGTTTGATTATAAAAGACACCAGATAATCAAAGAGTTTGATTATAATTCATTGCTCTTAGCAATGAATTATAAATAAAAAATATTTAAAGACGTATGTTGTGCAAAAATACTGCCTATTACTATGTTTATAAGTGTGTGTTCATAACGTAGTCTTGCAAATTGTATCTTTCATAAATTTTCCCTAATAATACATTAATATTCAATATTTCTGAATAAATATTAAAAAATGGTTTTGTGACGAATGTTGTTAATAATAGAACAAGTTACAATTATTATTTTGAAATTTCAATTTTCAAAACAAAAAGCTGACATTATAGGGATAAGATTGTTATTGTGTGATTAAGGTTTTTAATAAAATTACATTGTGAATAACAATTCGGAAATATAGAAAATTGGCTGTATTTGAAAATTTACTGAGAACATACATTTAATTTGTGAGATTTGGGTATGAACACTAATGAGATCAAATATATTAGCGGTGCACTAGGATCCGAACATAGGTTTCTACGTGTGTATGAGATTTATTTGTGTAAATGAGTGACTGTGTATATATGATTTAATGCTTACCGTGAGCCAGTCGAATGAATACTTTTAAAATATTTATATTTAGTTAATAATTGTGTAAATAAAGAATTTTCTTAACAATAATGGTTTTTATTCAACTTTCTCTCAAACATAAGATAATCTTTCGGTACAAAAATTAAATATATCGTTTATTTAACCAGCATTTGCTTCATCAGTTTGGGATTTAGACAACTTCTGAATACACTTGGTCGCAGCAAGGTGGATTGTCTTGTCCAACGAATCTGCGGATCAAAAATACAAGAAATCAATCTAAATTATGGTATTTAATATAATAAAAAGGAAAATATAAATTTGACATTTATATATAGATTTATTTATGTGAGAATACTAAACTTAAATCCAGTCAGCAATAGCATTAATGTAGCTGAATAAAAAAATGTAGAAAATGAAAATGCATTTTTCAAAACCTACAAGAAGTAAAGTTAAAATATTAAATTATTTTAATTTTTAAAACCTTCATATAAACTGTGAGCTAACGTTATGAATTTTGGCATGAAATTAATTGTTGAGAATTTATATTTGTACTTTCACTTTGTCTTTTGGTGGAAGTGGCTCAGTATTTTTTTATTTTCTATTTGGCTTTTCACTTTACCTAATCACACACTAAAGAAGTCGAAACCAAAACAAAATACAAAAACATAGTATCCTCCTTAAATTGCCGTATGTAATTTAAAAAATATTACTAAAACTTCTGTATAAAGGTAAATGAAAAACTCATTGAAAAACTGAATTGATCAAAAATCTTTTCACTAATAAAAATTAACATCGTTTACTTTCTATGTCATTAGTTATCAAATTATCTATGGTATTACATTGGTTTTAATCAAAGTATAATAATGTTCCTAATTATTTTATTTAGAAAGTAGATACCTACTGACCAGCCCCCAACTATAATCTGTTTATAAATAAATAATTGTTTTTATAAATTTCACTTACATATCTTATGCTGTCCCTTGACTGGAAAACGTAGCCTCAAACTGATGGGGTTTGAACAAATAAACACGTATGGACTCTCACTCTCTCCATTCGGATAACTAGAATTAATGTAATTTTTATTAACATTTTGTGCATCAATAACAAACAATAATATCTATTCACTACCTCACTATTATGACGGCCTCGGTGGTCGCTTTACTTCTGATGGTCGCGGGTTCGATTCCTATTCGAAACATTTGTATTTATGAGTATGATTGTCTGTATCGGTCTGGGTGTTTTCTATGTATATTAAGTATGTATTTACAAAAAAATCTTAGTACTATCAGTTGTACTGGTACCATACATAACACAACCTGCAGCTAGCTTCTAGACCAACGAGCCCGTCAAATAAAAGAACAGAATTCTATTCTATTCTATTTTTTAATGCATATTATATGGCGGACTTAATACCTTGCGGCGTTATCTACCAGTCAACCATGAGTGGTGCAGAGAAAGATTGTTATTAGTACTTACACTTTCTGATATTCCTCCTGCGGCAAACAATCGTCCACGCTAACGCAGCCCAGCAAGCAACCGGTTGGGTAGAACGTGGGGAATTTCAGCTGTGCATCTACAAAGGTAACAAAAGTGATCAAATGTGTGCAACAAAATCATTAATGATCTCACAATAAATGTTCAGAAATCAACTTTAATAGTAATTAATACAAAGTCAATTTTCCATAGATGCACATTCATTATATTAAGCACAATATAATACAAATATAATAATTTATTTAGATATGTTTGGGGTTCGCCATTGTAGCATTGGATTCAAACATACCCATCAAAATATGTGTATTCAAAAATGTTTCAAGTTAAGCTATATTAAAAAAAAATGAGTTCACATAGCCTCTGACTACGCCATTTGGGGTAACAGTCATGACAGTATGTTTATTTTATTACCTGGGTACAAAGACCTGTACTGGTCTTCTATCGCCTTGATGATATTCTGGTCTGGCGGTTTCACGGTGGACGCGATCCACAAACGACCGCGGTGGTTCGTGTACCACGTGCGACCCTCGTGCCTAAATGTATCATTGTTGTTATATTACTCTACTGATATATCATCTACTACACTATTATATTACTATACTTTTCAGTTTCTTACACAAACTTACATTTTGATGCCTTCAACGAGCAAAGAGGCCCAGGGCTGATGCATGGAGAGGCAGCGGCCGGTGTCGCTCATCTCCTGCATCTCACCGTCTTGTATACGCGACAACTGAAGACCTGAGCTCTTCAATGCTGAAGCGTAACCCTTGTTGTCTACTGACGGGTCGAACTGTTGGAAAATTATAGTTTTACTACTACCTCTATTCATATTAATATACAAAGTCTGTTGAGAGCCTGTTTGTGGCCGTTTCACGACTTAACGGCTGAATTGATCTGAGTGAAATTTAAGATGAAGGTATCAAGCCCAGATAAATAATCTGAAAGAGGTGTATAGGGAAGAAGATGAAATAGTGGGTAAATCTTGGAGCAAGTCGCCAGTCATTATACCATATTTTTTTTACCAAAAATGCTATTAAACTTATCCAAAAGTAATTCTTATTGTTAAATAAGTGATAGTAAAACTCAATAACCTGGAGTAGAGGTGCGTTAACACCGGGCGCCACGTCTCTGTCGCCGGTCAGACCCGGGCCGGCTGTGAACGCATTATGCTGCAACCACTCGGGTACACGACCATCGGAACCCATCTGCCTTATCTTGTCCTCGTCTACTTCGTAATCTATCGTATTGTCCTCGACCACTTGACGACCTGTATTACAAGTCAAATCAAATTAAATCAGAATATCTTTATTGATGTAGGTCTAATACAGACTCTTATGATATGATTTTGGTTTTTATAAGCATTAAATATTGTAATTCAGTTTATGTATATATTTGTGTATCCTAGATTTAATTTAATTTTTTTTTCTTATTTTAAATATAATAAATTTATATGTAGTAATAAGTTTATATGCAGTAAAAATCTATTTTTAATCTATTTTGTTAGTAACAACTTAATAACATCTTATGTTTTTTTTTTCTTATTTAATGTTGTATGGGAAAAATTATTTGGTGCAATTAAAAACCAGCGTAAATCATTATATATCCTGTGTTATAAATATCAGCAACTACTGAGGCAGTTCCTATTGTCCAATTTTCTATATTATTATATATTTCTCATTTTGCGTTATTGTAAATAGTACTATTTGTGTTATGTTGGCAATAAATCAATTATCTATGTATCTATCATATGTCAAATCTTTACACGTCAATTTGGGAGTGCTTTCAATCTGAGAAGAACTGACAAGAAACTAATCTCATATTCTTTTCAAATAAGGTGTGTACATGTTTACAATAATACAGATTCATTTTTATATTCAAATTTGGGATATATTGAAGTGACCACAAGCATATGCTATTGCAATTTTGTCACAAACAAATCTAATCAGTGTTTATAACCCACTTCCAGAACAGACAACAAGAAATCCATATATAAAGGAAAAAATCTCTTTAGTCCAAACGCCCTAGTCCGCCTGTTTTATAATAATAATTTATTGTCAGAGAACGTAGTCTATTTTGTTAGTAACAACTTAATAACATAACTACCTATGATTGCAATAAAAAAGTTTTTATTCCTAACATAGGTAAGGTTATATTATATTGTATGTTGTCGAAAAATTATTTGGTGCAATTAAGTGAAAATATGTACAGACCAACTCGCCAGTAATAGCAAGTCTTATAAATATCTATATATCCTATAAACATGTTACACTCAATATAAATAAATTAAAGTATAATTCTTCACCAGCAAAGTCGAAGGTCATCTTCTTCTGAAGTCTGGACGCGTGCTTCTTGTCGTGCAACTCCTGTTGGTACTTCTGCAGTTTCTCCTTCTCGTTGGAGTTCATCCACACGCTGTTCACGTTGAAATAGTCGCTGTCGTCGTCGGTCACCCGGGTGCGGCGCTCACTGTTCATGTATACATACTTTTTTATACCACAGAGTTGGTCAAGTAATCAAAAGGGTACCTTATGCATATGTGCTTAAAACTCAAAGTCAAAATAATTTATTCACATACGACCTTTCGGCCTGTTGTGCATGTGTTAGTATTTTATCACTATCCCTACTTTCTATATATGTTTATGTGTCAAGAAGACGTTGCTGAACTTTAAGAAACCGTAATAAATCCTTCTATAGTAACTACAGAAAACCGCGGTAAGTAGATCACATCAGCATGTATTCTGTCGTCTCTCGGATTATTATTTATATTTAAAATTACAGCAAAAAATATATATATAGGACAAAATTTAATAAATTCAATTTTTTACGTTTTTCTAAAATATCGATAACAAATACAAAGAGTATTGTTATTGTTATTGTTCTTTTTCTGCTTTTTAGGGCAATGAACCTTTAAAAAATAATGTAGGTATAACTGAAACAAACAGATATTTAACGATAAGGCTGCCCATTGCTACCTCTATCTTGCAAATAGTAATAACATTTCTTTATATATTTGTATATACTTTCAGTTATACTTTATGTAACTGTATTTACTGTGAAGGGAACAATAAAGTTTTTTCATTTCATTACTGTTTATTACATACATACATGTTTTATTAAAGTACATCTCTCTCACCTAGTTCTGTCATATTCCAGCAGTTTATTTCTGTGAGACAAGGCCTCCTCCCATCCTTTTGGTCTGCTCCTTTCCAGAAGTGATTCCATTAGCTTAGCACTAGCTTTCGTCTTAGCGTTAATCTCTTTCTGCTCTGCCGGTGTGCAAACCTATTGTTTTTTTTTAATATTTAAATTTCTTTATTTTATTACATTTACTTAGCATAAAACAAAGTCGCTTGTCGCTGTCTGTATATCTTTAAATTACGCAACGGATTTTAATGCAATTTTTAGCAATAGATAGTGATTCAAGAGGAAGTTTTATGTGTATAATACATGCATGTTATTAAATAAGTTTATACAGTTACATACCAACTAGTCAATTCATACTAATATTCATGGATGTAGCCAGCCATGTGCTCAGAGTGGGGCAGCAGTCTAAAATATTATTTAACTAGCAAACTATACCCATGGTCTTACCCCAATTATTTTTTTTCATATAAAATGATGCAGCCTGTTTCTGTATGAATTTTTTTATGTTGACTATCCATAATGTTCCACAAAAACTAACAACTTACAAGATTGCCACAGAAAAGGCATGGTCCGGAGCCCTCCTGTGTACAAATAACCCGGCCACATTGCAAGCAGTTATTAACTAGTTCATGTTTTGACGCTTGGCAGTCACATCGATGGCGACCTGCAAATATTATTTAAACAACTTTATTGAACAATCTACACATCTTGGAGCTTACCAGTAATTTAATAAAATATACAATGTAAATACTTTTTTTTACTTGGCTACTCTTAAATTGTTTCTTCTCTTGTTTAAGCAATCATATTTCCATGAAATTTGACTATAATTGACACTATTAAGATCACTGAGGCAACAGTAAAACATGAGTAAGGGTGGATGCCTTAGGGAAAAATAAAATAATGCACATATGTGCACCATCCTCTCCACATGAAAAACTATCTAGAATATGCTATTCAGGATAGGCATGATACTGACTAATATATAATAATAATAATAATCCTGGAGAACTCAGAGAATACAGTGCCAACTAATTCCAAGCTAAGCAGAGTTTGTGTAATGAGTATTATACAACTGATTGAAATACTGTTTTTTTCATATATATATGGTATGATGAACTATTTAAATATTTTTTTTAAATATACACTAATAAAATGAACAGACTAACAATCATACCTATGAACACAAATGCTTACACTGTGCAAGCATTGAACTTGCAACCATCTGAAGTAACATGATGTGGTAAACCAAAAGGACTATCAATATATAAATCCTAATAAATTAAATATTTTCTTAATTAGAGCCAATAATAATATAATACATGCTAACTGTAATATAATACAGCTCTATATAAATATCTCAATCTGCTCACCTTTTAACAACACAACCTGAGCATTTTTGCCCTCTTGAGAGTACAAATTAACAAACTTGGTTTTCTTCTTTGACTTGGACTCCTCTGAATTCTGTGCTGGCTGCACTTCCGGTGAAATCACCTCCTGTTGCTGCTGCTTACCTTTTGATGTTTTCTTTTTGTTTTGTTTTGGTATGGAACTTCCTGAAATTATACGAAAACATTATTTAAATATTTTGTTGACTGGGTTTGCTTGAATACTGTCATATGGTGATAAGTTTACTCATCGTTTAAAAAATTTATTTATTGAGAATGTTCTACTTTATTTCCAAATTACTTACATAAATGTGTCCAGTAACATGAGCTAGTTTCTATGTAAAATTTGTATTGCATGTATTGCACAATCATATGCAATAAAATACATAGCATTATTTCTTTTAAATGTTTACTGGCATTGACATTCTGAAGCCATTGTTTACACTTACTTACCTTTAGAAGAAAATATTTTTTTTGATAACTCTAAGAAGAAATTTCTATGTTGAGGATTATCAAAATCTAATAAAGTTTTCATGTAGTCATTTAAATCAACCTCATTTTCAATTGAGAGAATATGTCTGAAAATGAACAGATATATATGAATAAATGGGTATAAGATCATAGAATATATTTGATTTAGAATCTTATTTTCAATTATAAACGCGAAAGTTTGTGAGTATGGATTGAATGTTTGTTACTCTTTTACGCAAAAACTACTGAACAGATTTTGATTGAAACTTTACAGTAATAGAGCTTATACATCAGAATAACATATAGGCTAAAAATTTCACGCGGGTGAAACCACGGGCACAGGTAGTATAGTATAAAAATCATGAAAGTTCGTAAGATAAAGTCATATTCTACATACTGTATTAAATCTTCCGGTACTTGAAAATCTAATATATTAGACAAATTTTTGCTAATCCACTGTTCCATCACAATGTTTAAATATAATTATCAATACAGAATAAAATTATTTCAATATTAAAAATATCTATTTATCAAAATTCAAAATCTTGTGAAAAATTAAATTTATACACAATTTTATTGATGTCGAATTCAGTCGAATACAATATACCTATTATGCTCTACAGAGAACAAAAATATTTCGACATCGATATACAGTTCTCGATTATCTGGACACCAGTGGCATCAAAAGAGGATAAATAAAATGAGATACATATAAAATGAGAAACGAAATGCTTGGTGTATTCATATTTAGCAACACCTAAACTTCCTGAAACTATATTTCGGACTATTTCTTATTTGATATTTATCTGATTTCACATGGATGTTGAAATCGATATCAATATCGATTATTTTCAAATATAGGTATAGATCATTCCTATCAAGCAGCTGATTTTGACACGTAGATGAATTATTTTGAAGTGGCATTCTAACATAGAGTAATTTATGAAAGAGTAGTAGTATCGAAAGTGACCTTACAATACAATTTAGAAACCTCTTCTAAATTCTATTGTAAGGTCACTTTCGACATACTTCTATAGATTCCTATAATTTATAGGTAGTAGATGTATATTATAACCTAACGTATTATAATTTATAAGTCTAAATATACTCATTGTGATAGCGCCAAGTACTCTGTGTTAACTGACATTGACTGTTTACAAAGCCGAAATATTATTAATGTCACTGTCATACTGCCACTAAAAAGGATTTTACATATTCTATACAAAATATAAATTTCTTATTTTCAGATTTTTCCAAGTGTTTTCCAAGTTCAATTTATAATTTTAAGGTATTGTTATTTAACTACTCTTATGAATGTTTAATTAAATGAATACAATATGATTTCAATCAGTACAATACCAAAACAATCTCTTAGTTGTGTTTACGTAATTTGGTAACCTAATAACATTTTTAGATTTTTGTTGATATTATCTCCAACAGTATTCAGATTTATTTGCTTAATATTGTATGTAATATATATGAAAAATGTACTGTTCACTTTCAGTGTCAACATGTCCATTTCACCATTTCTCCGTTCGCCGTTTACTGATGTCACTGGAGGAATGATTTCTCATCAACTATTAGGTCGCTGTCAGCTTGAAGAAGCGCGCTACATGGAGTGTCTAGAAGCCTATGGCTTGGAGCGTGGGAAAGTCAAGTGCTCCCATTTGTTTGGTGACTTCCATGAATGCCAAACTTTGACAAAACAATTCAAAAGATTTATAGTAAGTCATCAGAAATGTTTAGTTCCTTCACTGTTTAGGCAGTCTCCATCAATAAATCCCTCCGTAATTTTATTTAATAAGCTATAAAAATAAAAATATATTTCATACACATATAGTAGTTTTGGAGATGCTGTAAGTTAATTAAATGTTTATTTTTATGTTTAAGACTTCATTGTATTTAATATGTAATAAATTTTAATTCGTAATATTGTCTAAATATAAGGGTTAGTACCTTTTTAATTTCAACAATAGGTAGAGGTATTTATCTTTTTAATATTTTTTTTTATAAACCAGAAATAATATATATATTTATTAAAGAAATAGTAATATGCTACACATTAATTATGTCTTGATATCAGATTTTTATCATTATTGCAAAATTTATAATAGATCCATTATGTACTGATTTTGTTATAAATTAACAACCAAGCCAAGCCCTATAGGCAAGAACCTCTTATTCTCAGTTATAGATTCATTATAATTTTGAATATATATGGTTTATTTAACCCATAATTTGTTTCAGGCTATGAGAAATGAAAGAGACAAGCAAATAGCAGAAGGAAAACTGAAGGGAGATAATAAATATTTAAGCCCTAGGGTGGACAGTTTTTAAAAATAATTCAGTTACAAATTTATTAATACACTTAGTTATTTAATATGTAAATAAAAACAATGATAAAATTAAAAATATATTTAATTTTACAAATATTCCTATCTATATTAATGTTTAACAATATCACTTCACTAGACACTTAATCATTATTCAGTCATGTTTTAAATAATAGATAAAATCTTTATTCATATCAAAATATTACAAACATACATAATTCGATAAACAAGTATATGTATGTAAGGAAATTGTACATAAGAAAATAATAATAAATAAGCAATACACTTTAACTTACACTAACTCATATTAGTTAAATAATGCAATGAATAACACAAGAAACTGATTTCAAACTAAATATAACACTTATTTATTATTATTTATTATTATAATCTAATAGGGCTGATTAGAAGCTGTGGTCTTGTTACATGCGTCTCTGGGCTCTGGGCAGTGCCTGAATATCAGTGGTATGCAGCAAACAATACACTGAAGTGCTGCCTTTTTGCATATGGGCTATGCACACACACTACGTTATTCATACCGTTTTTTTTGTATCTGTGTTGTATTGTATTTTATCTGTATATTTGTTGTGTATTGTATTTTGTTTGACTTGGCTAATGTAATTGTATATCTGTTTTTATTTTTGTATTTACTATTCAATTCTTGTGTGTGCCTTTTTCAAGTTCACTGAAGTTACCAAAACTGTCTTTAGTCAATATTCCACATTTGTCAGTAATTAAGATATAGCGATTTATTGCTGCTAAGGAAACCACCTGAGCTGCGGCGACTAGCGACTTTCGAGATTTACTCACCTGCACCAATTTCTTGTATGTACAAAATTAATAAAACACTAAATTTCATACTGACCATCTCACATGTGCGTAGTCGCAGTAGTAATTCTGTTATGTTACGTACATATTGCTATATTCGTTTGTCAGGCTAATTTATTCGTTCGAATTCTTTACTAATTGCAAATGTATTTGTGATATATTATCTGCACTATTTTGGCAGCGTAAACAACTTTGCTGTATGTATATACTTTAAGTTGCATTATTATAACGAATATACTCATGACGAAAAACCGCGCAAAGTATTAGACTACGAAATAATATTTTAAAACATTGCTATCACGTTTTTGATAGGCGTTTCATTAAATGTAAATTGACATTCTCGACGAAAAGCAACTAACACCTTCGGTATACTTATTATTCTTTGAACCAACATGTTCATCAAACACTACGGTTACTACAGCGACGATAATTGGCAATGCCACAGACTATCTCTTATCTGCTATAGTCATTATATTCAATTTCATTCTGCCAATTATTCAATGTACTATTTTCAAGGCAACAGATCTAATTATCTAATATTAGTAACTATTGTCTACCAGGCCTTAAGTAAAGAGATAGACAAATTGCGAGTGGAAAATTGCTTGGGGACAAGAAACATTTATCGCCGAGAGTCGACAATTATTAAGCTTTTCATTCAGCTTGCTAAACAACGAGTAAGCGAATATTGTACTGTTTAAAAATAACAGGACTCTGAACATTGCTGTATTATTATATAATTCCACATTAGTGTACCCATAATAGCGCAGATTCGTTCGCCAATTATATAAAATAAGGCATAAAATATTTAACAACATGCTTTATAGTGCATATTATTAATAAAATTACATTATAATTCTATATCTACTTATTTATTGAATAGAATAATCTTTTCTTTATTTTACATAGTACATATTTATCTTCACGACTTTACTCGCAGTTGAAATGTAGTCATTCAATTAGAATTTAAATTAAATAAATAGCAGTCTGGCGTCTCTCAGATTAATTTCTTACATTGTCGGTATTACTATCGTCGGTGAGTCAGTCAGAAATATTGACATTTTATTTACTGTGTTCATAAAAATACTGTGTTCCTAAATTTATAATCCTTTCCGTAAAGCCCAATCGGGAGCACCATTCCTTTGTCGTCCATTATATAAAAAACAATTTATATTATACTTTCGAGCACAAAAATGTTTTTTATATTATATACATGAGTGTATATTTATACCGCAGTATATTTAACGTGTAAAATACCTTTTTACTGCACTTTAAGAGAAAATTCTAACTTTTTACTGAACACCAAAAAAATTAATTTGGTAGGCACATTAAAAATAATGTCACAATAATTTAAGAAGATTAGGTACCTTTGATAATTCTTTTACTTTTCATGAATTTTTCAAGTCGTTAAAGTGGTACCGATGTTTACTTTCCTCATAAAATAGTCCGTTCTCGATCATTATAATATTTACCTAGTAATTAGTAATATACAAGGTTATAGAAGTTTTTTTTACCCGATGTGTATACTGTAAAAATTTGCCCATGTGGGCGGGCACATCAGTTTCCCCTATTTCAGTCACCAAACAGCTTGCTTTGTTTCCTGTATTTCCGTTGTAGGGTAAAAAAAGGCAGAAGGTAAGAAAGATCAGCAATACTCCGAAATGGCAATGCGTGAGCGATAATATTCACGTCACATGACATGAGGAGAGGCACGATAACGATATTTCAGTAGGTGGCACTTACCATCAGATGGACCGTAAGCTTATTTACCATTTTGGCATTCCAATTATATAAAAAAAGTATAGAAGTTATATATATACATAACACAAAAATAATAAACGTTTCGAGCTCTTCCACGAAAAATCGTGGGTGGGATAAATTATAAAATCTAGTTTGCATTTTGAAATGAGCTAATAATAGGTATGTATGCATTATACATTCGGTCTTCACGAAGGTTGTAAAGGTTACCTACACTAACTTCGGTGTTGAAAGGCAATGATCATTATCATCGAGACGTCATTAATCTACAAGTAATCGTTTTTAATTGCTCCTAAACATTAAAATTACAAGTTAGCTTGTCTTATACGGGTTTGCTAGAGAAATATTAATTATATAAGTTTTAATTCATTGTTTTTAAATTTATTTATACGTTTTCAGTATTTTTTGATAATTCTTTCTTATCAAAAGATAAGTCTATGCGGTTACACCCAACAGGTTTTCTTATATTTGTGTACAGTGTACGTAATACCATTATCTGTGGAAATACAGAAATTTATTATTAATAATTTAATCAGTTTAATCCTGTACCCAATATCTTAATGATAATATAAACCTAAATTTACTTCCTAGAAAAAAACTATTATTATATACCTATTGCGAAATATGTAGGTATAGGTACTATTTCACTGAAGTTATTCCATATTTAATAAAAATGAAAATCAAATATTAACTTCTTTTTAATTTATTTCTCTATTATTTTCAAAAACATCTCGCGTAACGATCGAAACTGATTCGAACAGACGGAAATCACTCCTATTAATCTGGTTATCGACTGTAAGGATACTGGAGTCTATTTGGCGCGTTCAATACCTCGTGTTTTTTCGTTTCACAGGAGTCACGGTCGGTCGGACGCGTTTTTGCAAAGAATTTTGGCGCCGAACTACATTATAATCAATCATTTTATTGTATTCATGATCAATAAAATATCGTAATGTAATTACGTACCTACCTTCTTACCTACGCAGTTCTATGTCGGGTCTTGTTTTTTTTTTAAGATAACTAAACCGTCCGTTGGTGTGTTTACATAGTTTTGAATTTTGTATTTATTTATGAGGGGCCTGAATAGGTGAAATGCGACAAAAATCTAGTATTAGGCAGATAGATAACGATTAGAATTTGTAGGAATTCTAGAAGTACTATTTTCGAGAAAAAAATACATTTGAACAATTATTACTGAAACGCATCTGATGATCTATACCTACATCTTTTCGTACTATGTACAAGAGCGCAACTGCAACCCAATGTTATTGATGTTATATTAAAAATAATATATTTATCTGGCAAGAAACTTAACAGGTATATTGTTTTATGTTATTATATTTTTTATGATCAGTTCCAATAGTGTGAATCTCATCCCTTAGGCAGACGGTTTGTAACATCAAAGAAAACGCCGTACCTATTGCTGTCACAGTACTGTGCAACTGCAAAAAATAACTAACCATGTACTTACTTCATTCTATGGTTTCCGTGGTGCCTTTAATGAATAGCACTCACCATCAGGTGGGCCGTCCACCTCATTGCCATTCAAATTAATTGTATAGAAAAGTAGGTAAGCAGTTTAATACGATTAGGTTCAATATTTTTAATTAACTGCACATAATGCTTGAGACGCCGAAAGAATAGAAGATTAGAACCAAGGAAGCAGTTCGTATACCAATATAAGGTCAATACAATATATCATTTTACTCCAGCTATATGCCTTGGAGAGTTATAATGGCGGGAGACAAAATGACACAGTTACAGAAGAATAGTCCCGCGACTGCTAAGATGCTAAGGGTTGGTTTATTTTAATAATTAAATAGCAATTGAGTATGATGGGATGATCATGAAGTCAGGGCAGTTAGCACATCTTGGCGAAATCATCACGCCTAACATCCATAGGGTTGGTTGATATTTTACTACGCAATATTAAAAAACATCCGTTTACAAAAGGTAATTAATGCGTGGGTAATTAATAATAATGGCGATGTCAACGCAGATCCTTATTCGCAAAATTATTTAATCGTCTAATTGCAAAACATTAATACGTACGTATCAACCTTGTTTAGAGCTTGCTATTGAAGTTCAATGGCCGTCAGTGATGAAATATGTTCGAAGGTTGTATCAGAGCACACCAAGGTAACGACACCGTGAGCTGCCTTCGTGATAGAAAAAAAAATATCAAACAATTTTTGTACCTTACGGAACTGACCAAGGTCCTCGACCCCACTGAGATTTCTGAACCATTTACATAAAAGACTAATGATCTTTTTTATCCAGGGTAGGTAGGTCGATCTTTAAAAGGATTATCTACAGGATTAGAGGACGACGACCTTTACGGTTGGCTCACGAACTCTAAAGAATTTAAAATGATTCCTACAAATTACAAAATTGTTTTATTGTATGTCATACAAATATTTAGGTAAGATAAAAATGTTTAAATTAAATCCGACAGTAGGTAGGTAGATACACGAGCCGGCTGGTATTAGTAATTAT